ATAAGATATACAGGAGTTTAACTTGCATAACTTTATGATAAAAAAAAAGATATGAATATATCGTAAAGTGCTATACTATCAACTGAAATACAAATGAGACTGAGTAAGCGTAAGTTAGATAGCCCACCATTTGTTAGCAACACTAGTTTTCAACTCATGCCATTAACATAGAAAGGAAAACTTCGTTCGACTAGAACCGCTGAATATTTACAGGTTAGTAATGGACAAATATTTTTGGTGACAGGCGCACAAAAAAACATTCATGTTTAACCATGGAAAAACTCCATTTAGTAAAAAAATTATTTTCTCTGTATTTTTCATAGGATGTTGTTATTAGGAACATTGACTGTATATAAACAGGAAAGACAAATTGAGTATCATTCATCTTGCAACATACATCATCATTCGTCGATTCAATTAATCTATATTCTACAGGGAGTACAAATAGAGTAGTTAAGTTTGTTTATATTGAAAAATGAAACGAAAGATTCCATTCACCTCATCAGTAAAAAATAAATCTAAATCCGGATCAACACAACATACAGAAGATAGTTCATCACATGATCAGTTATCCAAGCAAGTAATGGAAGATAACTTAGATAAAAAGTCAGACGAAAAGCAAGTAGAAAAGAAACAAACTATTTGGGATCAAATTACTCGAAAACAATTTATATCGGCTATTAAGGAATTAGGATCCGACAAAAAAACAACTTGAAATGGAAACATGGCGCTTTAATGATTTCACCAGTTCGAAAGAATCTATTTGGGACCGTTTGATATCGAAATTGAAATTAAATCAAACAGAAAGGATACGTAAATCTTTGCATGATGTTTAGCGACGACATTGTCAAAAAAATTGCTGATGATCTGTCCGAAAGTCATCACGATTCTGTTGAAAAAGTTAATGAATCAGACAAAGAAAGTAAAGTCGAGCTTCTTTTACCGAAACCTGTGAATAGGTCTACAGCGTCTGATGAGTCTCCTCCACATCCACCGACTCGATCGACAATTCAACAGGAATCGAACATACCAAAAATAGTTGAGGCATCATTCATCTTCACGTCAAAAGACTGGAAAGATATTTACAACAGCACCACACGTGAAATGGAACCAGGTTGGACAGACATCATGTATGAGAAAGTGTGCTCCCGTAACTTTAGTTGTACCTTAGCTTTCAAAAACCATCATGTTAGTCTTTAAGAGTCACGTAAAATTAATTCTTCTTTTTTTCGTTGTATAGCCACGTGCAAGACACCTTCATGTAAGCGAACATTTGAAGTTTTTATCAGAGATGAACCAACATACAGAGATAGTATTGCTGTTCACATACAACCTGTTGGAGACGAAGACCATTGTGCAAATGAAAAGGCAGTAGCACGATATTTAACTGGAAAAACTAGGCTCGAAATTGGAAAGCCAGCCAATGTCATCTGATTCCTAAAAGTCTTCCAACAAACGGTTGAAAATGCTAATGAAGGAAGAGTGTGGGTGTGGATGTGGGTACAGGTGTCGTTTTCAACCACACCCACATCCTGCACTTTTACCGACCACACACATAGCGAAAAGGTAGTATTTTTGGATTTTCTCATCAATGGTTTGGATTACGACTGATCCAACGTCACCATTAGATAGAGCTCGTCGAGTTGTACTTGGAACCGGGCTGGAACACTTGGACCACGTTCCTGGACGAATATGGGAAGGTTTTAGTAAGTAGGTTTCCCTTTTCCTATAGAAATGGTGCAGTATTTTGGATTTTTCTCATGATTGGTGTGAGCTACGGAAAATCCAAGGTGACCATTAGATAGAGCTCGTCGAGTTGTACTTGGAACCCGGGTGGAACACTAGGACCACGTTCCTGGACGAATATGGGAAGGTTTTAGTAGCTAGGTTTGCCTTTTCCCATCGAAAAAATACAGTATTTTGAATTTTTTTCATGATTGGTTTGAGCTACGGAAAATCCAAGGTTACCACTAGATAGAGCTCATCGAGTTGTACTTGGAACTGGGCTGGAACACTTGGACCACGTTCCTGGACGAATATGGGAAGGTCTTAGTGACCACACACATAGCGAAAAGGTAGTATTTTTGGATTTTCTCACCAATGGTTTGGATTACGACGGATCCAAGGTCACCATTAGATAGAGCTCGTCGAGTTGTACTTGGAACCGGGCTGGAACACTTGGACCACGATCCTGGACGAATATGAGAAGGTTTTACTCGAATATAGGGCTAACTTCACCTACATGGATTTTTCTTTTACGGTTAACTTTCAAACAAGTCATTTTATAAAAATTTTTGACTTTATAATGTCTCTTGAACTATATAAACGATATGAAATTGTTTTTCTCAGAAAAAACAAATATGGACCGAAATTCGGTATTAATCGTATTGCAAAATTGGTCAACTGTAACCGGTCAACAGTCGTTCGTTGGTTGACACGGGGGGGAAGAAACGAAGGATCTTAGTGATCGAGAGAGAAGAGGAAGACCACGAAAAACAACAACAACATATGATGAAATTGTTATTGGTTTAGTAAGACAAGGTGTTGATGAAGGATTAACTAGTGAAAAAATGCAAGAACAAGTACAAGCTGAAGGTATTAATGTTAATTCACGTACAATACGTCGAAGACTCCGAGAAGCGGGGTTTCGATATTTGAAACCTCTCTCAAAACCTCTTCTTAGTGAACATCATCAGAAGAAACGTTTAACATGGGCCAGATCATTAATGAATTATGATTGGAATCAAGTTATGGCAACTGATGAATCGGTCCTTCGTCTTCATGACATTAAAAGATTTTATTGGCAACGGCCAGGTGAACGGAAAATTTGTCGAAAAGTTAAATATACAATTAAAATAAATGCATGGTGTTGTTTATCTGCTGTTGGTTTCGGACGAATTGTTTGTTTTAAAAATAATTTGAATAGTACTTTTTTATGTAATAATATCTATCATGATGGCCTTCTTCCTGCAGCACGCGAACATTTCGGTCGGAGTAGGAATTGGGTGCTTTTAGAAGGTAATGATCCTAAGCACCGCTCGAAAGCCAGTGTGAAGTGGAAAGAAGATCATCATGTAAAAACGTTACCTTGGCCACCTTTGAGTCCAGATATGAATCCTGTAGAAAATTTGTGGTCGTTACTAAAGATTAAAGTTGCTGAGCAGCGACCGACAACAGTCAAAGAACTTATAAGAGCGATAGAGAAAGAATGGAACGATTTACCACAAGAGTTAGCATCGAATCTTATAGATAGTATGAAAAGGCGTGTTGACAGTCTCATCGAGGCCAATGACGACTACACCATGTACTAAGTTTAATATTATTATCTTTAAAAAAAAACATAAACATACATTTGAATTTGTTTAATCAACAGCTATAACTGACCATAATTTTGCGCGGTATTTCATCATATAGCATCATCTTAGTAAATCTGATTCAATTCAAAACCTTTTAAAAGTTAACTCCAGATGAATTGTCACAAAGTTCAAGTAGCCGATAACAAGAAAATGTTGTTGGTGAAATAATACAACAATTTGCTTTGAAAACTTATGAGATTATTTGGATTTTATCAAAGTCGAATTGAATAAAAAACAAAAAAACCTTCAAAATATCATTTTTCGATTTTACGAGAAAAACAGTAGTATATAAAATTTTTGCTGGTTCTACTTGATTTGATGGAATTAGACTAATATTTTTGGTGCAATAGGTAGTTCCGATGATGACTTATTTATGGTGTGCAAGAAACTTTAATCTGCTATGTTATAGTGATTTCCCAGAGCTGTGGGTCTTCAGATATAGAATGATGCGAATCTCCACTTTTCTAATAGCTTTCCTTCTGAAAATTTGAGAGCAGAATTGAGGTTACATAAGAAGTTTGCATTACAAATTTCAAGGCTACAGGTTGATCCTAGCTCGAGATTTGGGTCAAATTCTAGTGAGGTTCTAATATACCAGTTTCGTAAATACTCAGAGAATACCTCATAACTTAATGAAAGTACATCCGTTTTTAATGGAACTTTTACTGTACAAAGAAGAAGGCTTAGGCTTTTCAATGATGGGTTGAACGACAATAAATGTCTTTCGTAACCCGAGATAACACGACAGGAAAAAAATCATCGTGTTGACCGTATATCTCAGCTTTGGCAAGAGACTAGGACTTGAGCCTTGGCCTGCGATCTAGAGTCAATGAGTTCTTCATATGGTAGAAGTTTCAAAGCAAACAACCTTCATCTAGATAGTTTTTGCCTAGCTGCGGGACTTTTGTCCACGACTGTACATTGTTGATGCAAATTTTATCCGCCAATGTTGTTTGTCTGATGTATTAATCAATATAAAACATTTTCAATTTTATATTGTTTCGGAATGTCAATTATTATTATCGAATAACATTGAACAAATAATAAAATTCATTTAAAACTCATCAATTTTTGATCGATCACCAATGGACAAATGTAACTTGTTTATTTGATCCATATAAATCATATCAACATCTTTCTTCGAATGTTAATAAACTTCACTTTATGAATGCTTTAGTGTAATATAAACTTTTCTACAGTAATATATATAGTTTTTTAATACGGACAACTTTTTTTTTAGTTTTGATCCAAATATTTTTACATGGCCATCTCTTAAAAGTATTTCAATGAATTTGCATCCATTTCTTTATTTATTTCTTGAACAATTTAATGAATTATTTCCCAATGTTTCTCATATTAAGGTTTATACAGGTCAGTATTTTATTCTTTATGTTGATTTATATAATCAAAAAAGAAAGTATAGCTGAAATGAATTCAATGTAAAAAGTTTATTCTATTTGAAATTCATTTGACTTAATTCATTGTCATCTATTAACAGAAATCTTTCAACTGATTAGATTAAAATTTCTGCTTCACATAGGTTCGGAGAGATTATTGTTTAGAGCATTAAAGTCTCCTAAAAAGTTAGTTTTCTTCAGGACAATTAAAAGAAAGATAAATAAAAATATTTTCGGTATTTTTTTGCCAAAGTTTTGAATATGTCGGCCAAATTCTGCTGTAAAACTGTACTTTGTTTTTCTCAGTTTATGCTTTGTTAATCGCGTAATACAAGATTTTCTGTGGATCATTATGCTGTTCTTTCAAATAGAAATGTATAATATATAGAATGAACTTGGATTGAAAAATTTAGGTTGTTAAATGAGTTATTTTTGATAATCCTTGAAAATCTATTAATTCTTGTTAATTTTATTTAGAACACTATCGAAATATAGTTTCGTTCGAGTTGCCAGATTCATTAAGAATACCGTTCAAAAAAGGAGAATGTAAAGTAACTGACATTCAATTTCGAAATGTTAGAAGACTTGATTTGGGATCTTGTTCAACTTTTATGAATAGTAAGTATTGATTTTGTTTTTTGTTAGATTTAAGTATACGATGAATTAAAATTTTTCTTTTACTTTAATTCATATAATTCTTTGGATATATAATTATAATGTATTCGAGATACATTTATCCAAACTTCATATATGAATTTTAATAAGCCCTAAACCTTTTTTTAAGAACCTAATGGTAGATGCAAAAGCAGACATAAGAATGTCTCTTGATTATCGTAAGAGAGAATTTTATGAAAAATTAAAATATGAACTCACTCAGCTGCAATGGAAGTTCAGTGTCACACATATAATTTCTAGAATATAAGTAACGAAAGTCACTTTGTTCGATGAGTATAAAAGTAAACAGGAGGAAATTTTGAATAGATTTATTCATCCTTTCTCATCGTTTACTTTTAGTTTCGTTTAAATATCTGAAAGTCGTTGTGCTACGTAGGTCCTTAAAACAGCGAACAAAAACGTTCTTTTCGCGCGTCAAAATATATCATAATCTATTTATTAGTAGCTTATGAGTAGTCAAGAATTATGTCATAGAAGTCTGACAAGTATTTATACTATTCTCTTAGGCATTTTTTTCCTACAAAATCATATAAATCATAGGAATAAAAAAATCAAAATTTTTTATTAACTGGGGTAAAAATCCGAGCAAATCCTCTTCTGAAACATAACACATATCATGAAGTGAATAATTATTAATTTAACAATTTATCTGACTCAAAAAAAATTATAGAATGGAATTGATTTTATATCGAGTACTGCAACTAGACAATTTGACGATTGCAAAAATAAAATGAAAGCGAAATCATGATTTCAGTTCGCTTCCAAAAATACCACGGTGAACCTCAATCATTGAATTATTAGATGAATTCGAAAATTTTCAATTTTCGAATTCTTGCAACTAAAGATGTCACAGATTTTATTACCTAGACTAAACAATAGGAAGCTAGTGAAAAAAAAACTTCTCAAAATTATCTTCGAAATTTCTGTGTCTGTCTGATGATGGAATGGTTCTGGTTTTCTTGGCGATTCCAAAATATTCTTTTTCACGATTCCGCTTTTCGTTTCAGTTTCGATAAATCATCCTCAAACAAAACATATTCGGATAAATTTCGTCATTTACAATGATCACATTTTCATTATATTTTGCATTCTAATCCTTTAGAGGTTACCCTAATAGTTTTGCTACTCTTGAAAGAATATTATTTCCAATAAATTTTATTTCTTTACATAAATAATACAAATACACACAATGACCAAAATAAATATTCTTTTTTAGACAATTCTAATACAATAGAATTAAATAAAGCATGTGCAAAAGTATTTGCTCACCTTATTTCAATACCTGTTCAACTCAAATATCTTGTTGAAAAAGTTGAATGGTTTTTTCATATTAGTGTACTCAAAAAGTGAGTACACTACTAAAATCGGTCTGTGTGTCCGGTCGTTTAAACGACAACTTTCGAAAGGAGAGTCAGATTGCGATGAAATTTTCTACACAGCTTAGTCTTGACAATATCTCGGTCGAGACAAGAAGATGAGAAGGACCGGTCGAGCCCTTCCTGAGTTATTGCAAAAATACCCATTTTTCCCTATAGCTTTCTGTGGAAAAATGGACCCATTGCGACTTTCCTAAAAGACTTTTCCTATCATAGTCAACTAAAACCCCAACTATTATATACCATTCGATAGAGAATTTCAAGAACTACAAAATGATATATAAAACAAAAAGAAACAAGAAGGTTGACTTACTTATGACAAGGAGAATTAAAGAGAACTAGGTTATATTTTGGTCCATGATCTAATTGATCCACAAATAGAGCTTTATCTTTCGGTCACACTGATGATACTTCGAGGTTTTCAGATATGGAGAACTCGAATGTGTACTGCACTTTCATCGAAATACTATTAGTTGTGCAGTGACCAATAGAAATGAAGTTATAGGAAAAACGACTTTGTGAGGGTAAATCAAGGTGCAGAGTTGAAACTTGAGCTTAATTCGGTCCGATGTCCTATTGGTTTGGCAACGCGCAATAGAAATCAAGATTATAAAGGGTAGATTTGACAGTATATTATTGATATTGAGACAGTCTAGAATGATTGATTTGTATGATTCACTTTTTGAAGTACACATAACTCTCGGATTTAAATACGAAGTTTCCGCATTTATCTAAGTTTGAGAATGATATCACTTTGTGTTAAGTGTAGGAAAAGGGATAAACAATATTTCGATACTAATGATAAAATAAAACTATAGAGTAGCACCCTCTCGCAAAATCCAATATCTCGCATATTTGATTGGATAATCACATTAACCAACTGTCAGAATATTTTTTCTTTCACTTACATATTTGTTTTGTTTTTCATCTAAATATAATATTATTTTTTTCTTCTTCATGATTTTAGAATATGAATATCCTTAGTTGTTTTTATCTAGATTATTATTTGTATTTTTTATTAATGAGTTGAGTTAATTTAAATAATTCCATGCAATTTCAATGAATAAATTTTAACTTTAAGTTTGAGCGTTGCTCCTCCTTTCCTTACTTAAAATGATTTTCTTTTTAATTATTCTTTTTTTATTATAGATGATTACTTAAATTTGTTTATCGTTTATATTTTAGATAATAACTTGACATTATTTAATCATTTTATTTTCGATAGTCTTTAACGTTTATTGCTAATTATACGGACATATTTCGAGGATTACATCTCACTGGAACAAATAACTTCATCCTGATCTGTCATTCGGTTTACTTTGTGGAACTCACATATTTGACGAAGAAAAATAGGGAGCGTAAGTTTTAGTGTACAGTTTTTCGGCTTTTTCTTACAGCAATGTTGCCATCACAGACAGTTGCTCTTAATTACCAACGGGCGCGAAATAGAAATTGTTTTCTATGTTTGTTTGGCTGTCTCCGATTGTCTATTTCATATGCATTAGATTATTTGTGCTATTTGCTTTTTGTACGATAATAAATTATAATAAATAATATAATTAATATCTGTACAAATGAATCAGAACAAACAAACATCGCAAACAATTTGTAGACTTGTAAATATTTGAGCTTAATATTTTAGTCCCAAAGAGGCTGCGCTAATAAGTTTTTTTTTTATTTTCGATCATTTTCTGTTCGTGTTTTATAGATTGATCAATGGTTTTGATCCTTATCATATATAATACTAGCAAGAGCCCGGGCATACTGCACGGTGGTCCTGTAAAGTTTCACATCTGTCCTTTAGCCTTGATTCGGTAATAGACAATCAGACAGTTTGCATTGTATATATCGAGAGATCTTATAGCCTTATTCCGTTATTCTCTTATCTCTTATATCCCATGCACCCTTATCTACTTATCCTCTATACCTTTTTTCTCCTTGTACTCGTTTAGTTTTATTCCTTATACCGTTGTAGCCTTACCCTCTTATCCTCATCCCCTTATAGCCTTATAGCCCTTGAGGACCTATGGATACCGCCATATAATAGCTCTTGAGGACCTATGGGTCCCCTCATATAAGAGCCCTTGAGCACCTATGGTTCCCCTCATATAATAGCCCTTAAGAACCTATGGTACCCTCATGATAGGTCTTAAAGCACGCTCTTTTGACCTTTGACCAGGCACAGACAGACACACACACTGAACAATATATATATAAATAGATAAACAATAAGTTTAGCTTTATTTTGTGAAACACAATCTAAAAGGACTATTGAAATATAGGATGTCTAAATTTGAACTTCCCAAATAGATGCGATAGACATCTAAGTAACGTCAAAGACCGTGACAAACAGAACCAAAAGAGCATCATAGATTGTGAGAGACATTACCATGGAAACGTTCCAGACTTTTACAGACGCCTCAGCAACAGACTATCAAGCATTTTAATAGCTGTGTTAACAAAGGACCAACACAGATTGTAAGAGAATGCTGAATTGTCTGCCTCACCATGTTTCACACTTTAATCCTACAAAGATTATGGTAACAACTTTTCGAAGAGAAAATATTTACTTGGATATGTTAGAATAAGAATATAGCCAAGAAAAAAATTATATGATAATTATTTTATGAAGTAGTAAAGAATTTATTACGGAAATAAAAAGGAAGATGTAACGATCAATTTAATCCAACTAATTTTTGTGTTTTGTGTAAAAAATGTCGTCGAGAAGAAAACGAACGAGTTTGTCCCTTTCTGCTACTTGAAATGTTCTTAACCGTGCTATACATAAACAGAAAAACGACAAAACACTCTTTCGATTTTCATAGATGCATTGAATATGAAGATTGAAGCAGAGATGCAGAATCTGCCGAAGCTTCCCCGCAGCATGCAGAATGAACTGAAAAAATTTGCTCCGGTTTTAAAAAGCTATGAATCGGAATATCGTAGAATTTCCCCGAAAGATCTGCTTTTCCTAGCAGCACCGCTGCAGCCTACCGGTAGATTCTACACCTCTGGATTGAAGATGATAACACCGTATAACTCGCTCACTTCTTGTGTGGACAGAGATGATACATTATAAACATGGTCTTTTCGATTTCAACTTGTTTTAACGCATTGAGCGCAGAAACTAGATAATTAGGTCCATCTTAAAGCCAAAATAGACATATTTTGACGAGTTTATATGCAAAAAGATGAAAAGTATATCTATAGTCACGCATTCAAACTTTCTCATATGTCATTTTATTCAGATGCGTTTCAGTGTTACTGTAAGAGATATTATGTTTAATTTCCATATTAGACTTATTCGATGCGTGAAATCCTCCCAAATCTACTACGTAGTATAAAATAGTCATCAACTACTTAAAACCGTAATGACATTTATGTGAAATCAAGGGCTGATGATTTTTAATAAGATTAAATGTGACTAATAAACATGTTTTTAACCTATAAAATAATTAAGTCCGCACCTTTAGCCGATGCAAATTCTTATGAATGGTGATGCACATAGACAATCATTATCGATATATAATTGACTGATATTTTTATTCTATTATTAGGGTGCAATCAAATCTTCGATAAATAAATTCAATTTCTATTAAATAATAATTGATAACAAGACAAAGAATGCCGTTTGAAACTGTTGGTGAAAGGGATAAAAGAACATTCCGAGAATTATATCCAGAAATTGAACCGTATAAACTTGGTATGTTGAAAGTATCTGAAATTCATACCTTATATTATGAAGAAGTTGGAAATCCTTCTGGTAAACCAATTGTATTTATACATGGGGGACCAGGTAGTTATACAAAGTCAAGGGATCGACGATTTTTTGATCCACAAGCATATAGAATCATATTATATCATCAACGTGGTGCTGGTAATTCAATACCCAATGGTTGTTTAGAAGAAAATACAACATGGGATTTAGTCGAGGATTTAGAGAAATTACGTAAGCATTTAAATATTGATAAATGGATTTTATTCGGTGGTAGTTGGGGATCAGCATTAGCTTTAGCTTATGCTGAAACATATCCTGATTATGTTAAAGCATTAATATTGCGTGGAATATATTGCTGTCGCCGAAAAGAATTATTATGGTCTTATCAAGAAGGTGCTTCAATGATATTTCCTGATGTTTGGGAAAAGTTTTTAGAACCAATACCAAAATGTGAACAAGGTGATTTAATGTCAGCATATCATCGTCGTTTAACTAATAGCGATGAAAAAGATATATTAAAATTTGCTATGGCATGGCGTCTATGGGAATCATCAATATCAAATTTATATGTTGATCCTTCCCTTTTAGCTGATGTAGCAGGTGATGCCAAATCTACGATTACCGTGTCCAAAATTGAAGCACATTATTTTGTGCATGGAGCATTTATGAATGAAGATGATCAATTATTAAAAAATGCCGATAAAATAAAAGATATACCTGGTATCATTGTTCAAGGTCGATATGATATGGTTTGTCCAGCTCGTTCAGCTTGGGATTTGCATAAAGTATGGCCAAAATCGGAATTAAATTGGGTTGTTGATGCTGGACATTCAACAAAAGAAATTGGAACTATTCACGAACTAATCAGTGCAACAGACAAATTTAGAGACTTATAAACCTTTTCCTTTAATTAATCATTTGTTTTCCATTTAATCACATATCAATTCATGTGTTCTTTTACAGGATAAACCATAAATAGATATACGATAAAAATATTCTTGTATAACTGCACGTTGTCTCCAGTCAATTCGACTAATTTATTTGTCAGTTTCTCTGTCATCCGTGGAACAAAATGTGACATGTCTATCCTCACCTCTTTATCTTTATCAAAAACAATTTATAGTGTGAAAATACGAGTAGGGTGTGGCTGTGGAGGTGTGGGTGAGGGTGTGGGTGAGTGTAGGTGTACTTCTTGTCCTAACCCACACCCACACCCACCTCCACCACCCACCCCCACTCACACTCACACCCACACC